AAAAGTAAAGGAAATGCTATAAAAACATCTTCCACTGGTTCAAACAGACACTTGCTCTGCTAGCTCATTCAGCTGGTCTATAGGCTGCTGCTTTTATGGCCACATGCATTCAGTGGAGAGAAGGGTTGCTGTGCCTGTTGCTGAACCCGTGCTTTTCAAACCCAGTGGAAGGCTGGTGGTGGGAAATTAAACAAAGGAAGAGCAACTCCGTGATAATCATTCGTCAGAGGGCTTGGGCCAGAAGCCAGTTTCTCTATCTGTAAAAAAATATTACTCTTTGTTATTAAAATGTGGAAAGTGGATTTGGTGGGGAACTGTGGAAAGATACAGGGGGATCTCCCTGCGAAGCCAGTCAGCAGTGATTGAAATATGCCTTCAAAGGATTAATATGCTAACATGTCCCTTGGTTGGTGTGATAGGTAACCTGTCCAGCAGAGCTTTTCAGTCTCACATGTGAAATAGCTGTAAAATCTTTGCTCAGGAGGAATGAAAAAGTTCCAGACTTCCCCAGCACTCCTCCATCAACAGCAAAGAAGAGAGTGCACATCTTACAGTACAAGAGAATTCCTGTGTAGACAGAGATACCTCACAAAATACAAGTCTTTTTCATTAGCCACACGTTATCTTGGTCTTCTCCACAAACCACCCCTCCAAAATCAAGGCTGCAGGGGCTGGGGAGATGGCTCAGTAGAATAAGCGCTTCCCTGGCAAGCGCAAGGGCCTGAGTTCAATCCCCAGTTCCACAAAAAAAAAAAAAAAAATCAAGGCTGCAAGGAAACTAGACAGAGTGCAGGAAGTCGATTGTCAAAAGTTAAGGGAAATTTTGATCTATGGATCAGCTTTGGCAACCAGAGAGAAATCTAAATGAAAGCTATGTCAAGCGCTTAATAATAAGGGTCCTTTACCTAAGTTGGCTGAGAGCTTTCTAGACCTGCTTGGATTACAGCAGCCATTACTGCTTAGACCTTCAGGGGCTAGCTAGACTGGTCTTACTTCCACTACAGTTCCCTGAAGAATGTGTAAAAGTTACCTCTTAAAACCTAGTCATTGGGGCTGGGTGATAGCTCAGTAGAATAAGCGCTTCCCTGGCAATAGCTAAGTAGAATAAGCGCTTCCCTGGCAAGCTCAAGGGCCTGAGTTCAATCCCTGGTTCCGCAAAAAAAGAAAACAAAAGAAAGAAATGTAGTCATTATTATAAGAACCAGTATAAGATAACCGGTAAGATGAGTTCCCCAGGTCATCTTCAACCAGCAACGGAAACAAAGGCTGCCTTCAGAGCGGGTGCTACAATTCTCACTGTCCTATAGAAAGTTCTGCAACAATGGTTCTTTGACAGCTGGGTGTGGGCCTAGGACGGGGCTCTAAGGCAGAAACTAGCCTTTCCTTCCCCCCACACCGTACACACACTTTCAGCATGCTTTAGATAAAATCAGTTAGGGTCAAGTGAGACTGTAAAAGGATAGGTAAGGTAAACAAGAGACTTTGGAAGTTTTCCAAATTAACCCTTTAGAGTGGCTTAGCACTTTTGTTTATTTCATTCAGTTCCCTATTACCTCTTTAATGTTTCTCCCTTTTGCAAGTTCCCAGACGTCCTCGGTGGTCCTCCCTAGCCTGCACAACTCAGTCAATTAGGTAGCAAGTGTATGCTGTGTATGGTGACCCTCCTTGGCTTTATAAACTGAAATATGTGGGTGTCACCTTGAGCCCTAAGTGACTTGGAGTGGAAGAAGATGAGGGAAGGGGTAACAGGAAACACAAAGTTAGAGGTTACTGTCAGAACAGCTGAGTACAAAATGAGGTGGGGGCTTAGTGATACAGGGAACCTCCAAATGACACAGGGAGAAAAACCGATGTGGGGTAGATGAGCTGCAAATGACATAGGGGAAAAATGAAACTCCAGACCTGAAAAGTACATGGAATAAGTTCGTGTTCTCTAAAACTGAAGAAGGAATTTTTGGAACAAATGAAAGTTATGGACAGAATATATTTATTGGGGGAAAGAAACCTCCTGTCCAAGTGAAGGACAGGAGGGGGACACCGAGTGGGTGGTCCCCAGGAAGCAGTCTCTTCTAGGGACTTTTATAGAAGAAAACCATGTGCTGACGTGGGTCTAAGGTGGTGGAGACCACGGGAACTTGCTTAGTTGGGCATGAGGTGGGACAAAGCTATGGTCAACCAATGAGATTACAAGCACCATTGCTCAGGTAAAATTGATTAAATCCAGTACCAAATGGGGAAGTAGCAAGCGGGCGTGAATTTGGGACAGGATCTCTTCCTGTTGGAGGTTGGGCTAGTGAATCATTTGGGCTTTTTCAAGGAAATTGATATCTATTTAGGATATCAATCCCTGATGCCCATCCCTAGGGAAGTATGTAGCTGTGTTTCCTCTTTTGTCTTGGTCTTTTTTTTTTTTTAATGCGTGTGTGTGTGTGTGTGTGTGTGTGTGTGTGTGGCCAGCTCAGCCCACCAGGGGGCGGGGCTGGCTGGCATGTGGTGCTGGGGGATTGAACCACAGTCCCTGTGCTTTGCTAAGCATGTTCTAAGTAGGTGCTTTAGACCACTGAGCCATCTCACCAGCCCCATTTTGTCTTGGTCTTGAGGTGTGGCCTGTATGGGAATGTCTGTCTCTTCCAAGTTGCAAAGTCACCTTGTCTTCCACCTTGTCTCCTTGAGGGCCTGGCCCTGCCTGACTGCCTATAATATTTCTGTCTAATTCAGCTGCCTACAACATTAGAATGATCGTGCTTCCCCTCTTCCGGCAGTAACATCTCGCCACAGTAGTGCTTTGGTACTTTTATGATTCTGTGCTCGAGATGGCTACCTACCCTGGGAACACACTTTATTTAGCTTCCTAAGTGTAATATGTGCTCATGGTGCAAAATTTATTTTGAAGCGTAGAATATAGAGTCAAAAGCAAAAGTCCTCATCCTACCCTACTGCATATTTCCACTACTCAGAACAATGGTTATAAAAAGATTTTTGGTAAAAGCACCTTTTAATACCTAATTACTGGAGGCCTGCTCATGCAAACACAATCAGGTGCAGGATACCATGGTTCGATTCCCAGCTCCACTTGCCTTACCAGACCTGCCCTTAAGGCAGCTTGAGTCAGCCAAAAAAATCTTTCTCAATACCTTATGCCTGGCAACCCACTTGGGACCCTCTCCTGTCTTTCAGGAGCTATTCTAGTCTTCATTCCCCATTCCTATGTTCCTTTCCTCCAATAAATTTACCTACTTAAGGTAAGTTTTAAACTACTGACCTGTCACCCCTGCTAATCCTTCCAAACACTATTCCAGTTCCTGCCTTGCTCTTACCCGTGGGCCAAGCCTATGCCTGCCTTCCCACCCCTGCTGCGCCGCCCCTCTCTCTGCCTCTGGGGGGCACGACCCCAATCACCCAGCCCCACTCTGCTCTGTGGGTGCTTTCGCAGCCGCCTCCTGGTGCCCTGGGCCCTTCTTCGCATGAATCGCAAACGTTTAAT